GAGAAATTCTAATAAATACATAAGTAGACGGTCAAAATCTATATGATTACTCGTCCTCTGACAGATCGTCCTTATCCTACTATGCTTGTGATCATTGCAGTCGTTGTAGTGGTTAAAATGGAAAAGGATTTGAGACGGTAGACTCTCTGATTAGAGCGAAGGTCATGTGACTGACCTTTGCGTTGGCCTTCACGATGTATTTTTTGATGTATCTGGTGCTTCCGATGATTAGAATCTTATTTTTTTAGTCCATTTTAGAGTCTCCGATCAAAACACAATAACCTTTTGGCCATTTTTCGGCAATATTTTTAGAGAATTTTAGTGAGGAGAGTGAGAAAGGGGCTGAAAAACTGCAAGGATGCGGAACGACATCACATCATTCGCACAACATGATTCTGAGACTCTATATGAAACTTGAGAGCGATTCAAGAATTTACTTCGAAAATTCCCTCACCATTGTATTCCTAAGTGGTTGCAAGTTCAGACGTTCTACAATGGGTTGTTTAGTGCTACCAAAACTTGTATCGATGCAGTTGCAGGTGGGGCATTGATGGGGAAAAATTTTGATGAAGCTTATAAGTTATTGAAGACGATAACTGCCAACAATTATCAGTGGCCCTCTACAAGGATCAATCAGCCAAAGGTAGCAGAGATTTATGAAGTTGATGCAGTTACTGCATTGACTGCACATGTTGCTACATTGACAAAGAAGATTAATGCTTTAGGGGTGCAGCCTATTCAGAGTGTGGTAGTTGTTTGTGAATTGTGTGTCGGGAACCATCCGAGCAATCAATGTGCAATTAGTTCACAGTCGGTACAATACGTTGGTAACTTCAATAGGCAACAACATGCCAATAATTTCAACAATTATAACCCTAGTTGGAGGACTCATCCGAACTTGTCTTGGGATAATAATCAAGCCCAAACTTCTGCTCCAACATGATCATACCCACTAGGCTTTTAGAATCAAGCTCCACCACAGCAAGAAAAGAAGTCGAATTTGGAGGAGCTGTTTTTTAGGTAAATAGCACAGAATGAGACAAGGATGAACAATCTAGATGTATCAATCTGAAACCTAGAAAACCAAGTGGATCAACTTGCTACTGTCATTAACAATCGACCTTAAGGCACTCTACCTAGTGATGCGGAGATCGATCCTAAGAGGGAAGGTAAGTAGCACTGCAATGCTATTACATTACGAAGCGGAAAAAAGTTACTTGAGGTTGTTGGTGGAACTCCAAAACAATCACGTGGAGATGATAGTGAGGGTGAAGAAAAAGATAGCAAAAATGTGGAACATGAAAAGAAAGAAGAGGAATCAGTTGCATGTTCTAATGAAGGGAATCCGAGACCTATTGTGCTTTTCGTGCCGTTTCCACAACGTTTGCAAAAACAGAAGTGGGATAGATAGTTCTCAAAATTTTTGGAAGTGTTTAAGAAGCTCCAAATTAATATCCCTTTCACAGATGCATTAGAGTAGATGCCTAGCTACGTGAAATTTTTGAAGAAAATCTTGTTAAAGAAGAGAAAACTAGGCGATTTTGAGACCGTGACACTTACGGAGGAATGTAGTGCTATTCTTCAAAAGAAGCTACCACCAAAGCTAAAAGATCCAGGTAGCTTTAAAATTCCATGCACAATAGGCAGTCAGTTTTTTGGGAAAGCATTGTGTGACTTGGGAGCTAGTATCAACTTGATGCCACTCTCAATTTATCAGCAATTGGGATTGAAGGAAACGAAGCCAACTAATGTTGCATTGTAGCTTGCAGATAGATCACTCACTTATCCAAGGGGCATAGTTGAGGACGTAAAAAAGCGCTAATTGGGAGGCAACCCAAATTTTAGTTTCTAAGTTTTATTTCATTTTATTTTAATTTTATTTTTTATAAGAAATAATGTAGTTAGTTAGTTAGTGCATTTTAATTGGTATGTCAATTGCTTGTAGGTCCCAAGGATTGAACATAAAGTATGAGCTCACACAAAGCCTTACTAGGAGCCAAGAACGACTCACCTATGTTTCCCGAATACACTCCCGACTCAGCGGACGATGAGGACGCTGATGATGATGCGAACTAGCGAAGTCTCAGAGAAGTCCTCTGTCTTAATTCTTTCTACTTTATACATTGAGGACAATATTTAGTTTAAGTTTGGGGGGGGGGGGTTTTCTTGTTTGCATTTGCATTAGTAGGTATGCATTTAAATAACATGTTTTAGTACAGCTTGAGCAATGGGTTGATTAAATTTGATCATGTTCAATGATGAATGAGATTAATAGTTAATTCAAGGGAAATTGATGAACATGTTGAGTTTGTAGTTTGACATACTAGTTGGTTTTACACTGTTTGTGATCCTTTCATTCATGAGCACATACCAATCTGTTTGGTTAGTTATTATTTAGAGAATTTATTTGGTTAAATGCTTGTGGGAGATATCTTTGAAACTTTAGAAAACTTATTTAAGCATCATTCAAAGCGAATTGAGGTATTCATATAAGTTTGGGGGAAATATTGGTTATGATGGGTTAGTAAAAAAAAAATTTTTTTGTCCGAATTTGATATTGACAATTTACGTGCAAGTATACATGATCAACAAATAATAAAGTGATAAGTAGAGTATCATTTCCATGAATAATTATTGCTAATAATATCTAGGTACTAACTTTGTATCAATTCAATTTTATTTAAACAATTGAAATTGACTAAGAATCCACTAATTTAAAACTAAATCTAAACTTAATAATTAAGGGTTGAATTTACGAGATAAAAGAAGTTAAGATTACAACTTCCCCTAATGCTTCGTATAAATCTTTCTAACTCTCTTTCCAATCAATTAATCAAAATAAGTTGTTAATTGAGAACTCAAAGTTATTTATCAAACCTCTTTCAATTGTTAGATAAAATTATCTCTTCCAATTAAATTACTATATTCTTGTGCAAAATAATTTGGAATAGATTCATTAAGTTCAAATTCTCATAAAAGTTACACACGACATATAGGTATATTCCTATCCTATATACAAACCCAGCTATTCAATCTGAAGAAAAATTAACCAGATGCATGTCATCATATTCCGATCTAAACCTAGAATTCATCTTCCAATTTCATCTAGGTCGTGTATGATCAATAGAACTAGAATCGAGAGTAGATCAATTTAACTAAACATTAGGTTCCGTTGCAATATTAATAAAGATTTAGTTTATAATATAATTGAAAAATATCATTCTCAAATTAAACAACATGTCAGAAAATCAAGAAGTAAAATTAAGAGAAAAGAATGAAAATTTAGTTGCAATCTTCACTTTCTCTCTAGCCTTCGATTCCGATTTTCTTCGTATCGCTTCCTTCGATTCTTGTCTTCAATTTTCTTTTGATCCTTTGGTTTTTCCTATGTTAGTAGCCCCCAAAATCAGTATATCCCATTTTCAACTCAAACCCTAGTATATATGTAGCATTAGGGTTCAATTTCAGGTCAAAAACAAGTTAGAATTCCCGTTTAGAGCCAACACAAGCGCCTAGGTGCTGGAATATGCTAGAAAGGCGCTATCTGGACAGAATGTGGGCGCCTAGGCGTTGAAAATGCCCTGGAAAGACACTGACTCCCTGTTAAGCCTAAATCTTCCCTTGTTGCTTAGCCTTCAAAAATCCAACACATAGGCTCCAAATTGACCTTGTTTCCTTCCAAATGATCTTGTTTTCTTCCAAATGATGATCCCTACAAAATAACATCAAAACACACACAAAAAAAATAAAAAAGGAACCTAAAATATTAGAAAACTTGCAATTTTATTAAGCCGAAAGTAATCAATTCGTAGATATAAAATCCACACATCAGAGACAAAGACAAGGAGACAGTTTAGAAAAGGGCAGAAGTTGAGGTGACGATAGGGTATTAAAGCTGAAGGATATGGATGACATAATTGTGTTGTTGGAGAACAAAAGTAAAAAAAAATATATTTTTCACATATTCTGACTTTTTAAAGTAGTATAGATTTAGTTGTTGAAATATTTTTCTAGCCTATCTCTACCTTAATTTTCGATCCACTCTATGTCCTCTCTCCCAACTTCTCTTTTCTCTCAAGCACTTGACCCCCCTCTCTATTTTTTTATCTCTCCCCAACTCTTCACAGCCAGCGACACCCCTTAATCTCTAGTGACAATAGCCAATCAACAATGCCATCGAACTTCGCCAGTGACACCACAGGTATCTCGCTCTATCTCTCTCTCTTCTCCTTTCTCCGCTCTTTTCCATTTCTCTCTCATAACCACCATTTACCTCATCCATCCTATACTGCCACGCCATTTTATGCCAACGTTTGTCCCACCCCACTGCCCTGCCCTATAACCTGGCTCTTCCACACCCACTCCACACTTTTATTTTTTTAATGAAATGTCCCATAAAACCATGCATCCAACAGCCTGCAACCACCACCAGATCCCCACATTCATTAAGTATTTATTTTTAGTTATAGGTGATGAGTTTGAATTGATCACAAGGTAAACACGTGCAAGAAACCTTGGCACGTGAGCTTGGTACTCAACTAGGCACGTGAGCTTTCCATAATAAGAGAGCTCTTGCAATTACCACCCAGGGCTCCAGCTCGCTCGCATGTGCAAGAAAGCTTAGCATCTACAACAACCTTTTGGGTCCATATTATTTTGTTATTGGTGACCTAAGTTGCAAGCTTATTGGGACCAATTTTAGATCTGCAGCCTTCTATCTATAAATCATACTGTTAAACATGTATCCAACCATAATGTGAAGAGCAGTGAAATATCTGCCCTATGGGTTTCCTTTTCATTAGTGCCTATTCTTTCTCTTATGAAGGATACCATCAACCCAATGATACAGTTATTTCTTGTGCACACAAATTAATAATCAAAATACAACAATTGAACTTCCAAATAGCTAATTACCATTCGTTGTTATGACTGACGTTAACATATAACTCTATTAATCATAATGTTTATGAAAAACTAAGTGACATCTTTATTCAAAAAACTTACTTGGACCCTGGCTTGGCCACATTGCAGAATATCTTCTTGGCTTTAGCTTTTGCCTGGTTTTCGTTTGTGATTTGCACTGCAGAATCATCCTCAGTAGTTGACTCTTGTAGCTGCTCATCCAAAGTCGATAACACCCCTTTTCAAACAATATTCATCAACCTCTTCATATTCCAAGCTAAAATATTCTTCTGATTCAACATGTGCAAACGGTTAATTTTGATCCTCTCCTCTTGCTTCTTCTTAGAGTTAACCCTAGAAAATCTAGGACTCTTTGTATTAGTAGTTCCAGTGGCAGCCGTGGGGCTCTTTTGAGGTTTTCCTTTTGCACTCCTTGGAAACAAATTTGCCCTTAAATCTACAAGCATAGTTGCCTTAGCAATCGGAAGCTTCTGAACCTTAGCCATGACACTCTCCTCTTCTTCCAGTTCATGCTTAATTTCAATCTATGGGGGACTCGAGAGCATCTTAATCACATATTGATTAAACAAAGACTCTTGAATCCGATCAAAAAATGTATTGACATGAAGGAGGCAACAAGAACCTTAACAAGAAGTGTTTTCAGAAGCCAAATTAGAGTACCCACCAAAAGTCACACCCAAATCTTGGTCACATAAATAAGGTTATACGTTTCCATTGGTCGTCCTCAATCTTCTTATTAAAAATAAATTGCCAGACAATCAAAACTAAAGCCAACCAAATACAATTCTACATAGCATTCCTCAACCCGTAAACAAAATAAAAAACCTATTTTCTCAACAAAAAATGACACTTAATGAAAACTATACAATTTGAATTCGCTAACCCAATACAAGTCTTCAATAGATCAAAACCAAAATCATAAGCTCCCATTTTCTCAATATTAAGGATATTGCTGAAAGATGACATCACCAGTTCTAGCTCAACAGTTAGTGAAGACCATGTGAAGATTGTTAGTTAGTTATTTAGTTGTAGTATTAGATGTATATAAATAGAGAGATACAAAAGTTATAAATTAAGATAATGAAATGACATAATTTGTTTCTCTCTCTCTCTCTCTAAAATTGAATTAAGGTCTGGGTATCATTAGCTGAAGGTGAGACTGAATGATGTACCAAAGATAGTTTTTCGCACAAGGTACGGGCATTATGAATTTTTGGTTATATTGTTTGGGTTGACAAATGTTCCAGCTACTTTTATGGATTTAATGCATAGGGTATTTCAACCCTATTTGGATTCTTTTGTGATTGTCTTTATAGATGATATTTTGGTGTAATCTCGTAATGATAAAGATCATGAGAAACACTTGCAGATTATGCTTAATTTAGTAAATATAGATTTTGGATAGACAACGTGGTTTTTGTGGGACATGTAGTCTGGTATTTAGATGGATCCAAACAAATAAGAAGTTGTAGTGGGAGCGACCAAGCAATGCGAACGAAATCATGAGTTTCTTGTGGCTAGCTGGGTACTATTGTAGGTTTATCCAAGTGTTTTCCTCAATCACGATGCCATTGACTCGACTTACAAGGAATGATATATTTTAAATGGGATGAAAAATGTGAACGAAGTTTTCAAGAATTGAAGATCAGGTCTGTTTTTGCTCCTATGTTAACTATTCCAATGGGAGATGGAGGCTTTGTGATTTATAATGACATGTCACATCAAGGTTTGGGTTGTGTGCTAATGCAATATGGGAAGGTGATTTCTTATGCTTCCCGACAGTTAAAGACTCATGAGCGTAACTACCTTACTCTTGATTTAGAATTAGTTACAATCGTGTTTGCCTTGAAATTGTGGAGGCATTACTTGTATGGTGAAACATGTGAGATTTACACAAATCACCAGAGTTTGAAGTACTTGTTCACCTAGAAGGAATTAAATTTGCGGCAAAGGTGATGGTTGGAATTGCTTAAGGATTACAATTGTACCATTCATTATCATCTAGGGAAAATGAATGTGATGGTGGACACTTTAAGTCGTAAGTCATTGGGATTGTTAGCTTGTGGGCAATATGCACAGGTGGGATGCCTTTGCTAAGTCGAAAACTTTGGGTGTAGAATTTGACTTGCAGGGGAATGACTCATTATTAGCACAAATAAAGGTTAGAACAGTACTAATAGATATTGTTTGAGATGCACAAACACGGATTCATATTCAACAAAAATAAAGAAAAAAGTTAAAATCGAGTATTAGACCGACTTTTTGGTGCGAGAACACAGTTTCTTAATGTTTGGAACTCACCTTTGTGTACCCAATGACCCAGAGTTGAAGCGTTAGATCTTAGAGGAGGCACACAACTCCGTTTATGTCATGCTTCCAGACAATATTAAAATATACCGAGATTTATGGGAATATTACTGGCGGGTGGACATGAAACGAGAGATAGTTGATTATGTAGCTAAATGTCTGGTGTGTCAACAAGTTAAGGCGAAGCATTAACAAACAAACCAAAGTTTTAGTTTAACCGCTCCTTATTCTGGAATGGAAATGGGAACATATCACAATGGATTTCGTAATAATTTTACCCCGAACCCCAAAGGGAAATGACTCAATTTGGGTGATAATTGATTGCTTGACAAAGTCTATCCATTTTCTTGAAGTGAAAATAAATTTTTCATTGGACAGATATGCGAGGTTGTATTTAGATGAAACTGTATATTTATATGGCAGTATCCATTGTTACAGATAGAGATCCAATATTTATCTCCCATTTCTGGCCAAGTTTATAACAAGCTATGTGTTCTACATTAAAATTGAGTTCATCATTTCATCCACAAACAGATGGACAGTCATAACAAGTCTTTCAAATCTTGGAAGATATGTTAAGAGCTTGTGTGATGGAATTTAAGGGTAGGTGGGATGAGCATTTGCCATTGATAGAGTTTGCGTATAATAATAGTTACTAGTCAAGTATGGGTATGGCACCATACGAAGCTCTATATGGTAGGCGTTGTAGAACGTCAGTGTGTTGGACTGATGTAGGGGAAAGAAAAACATTAGGTCCTGAGTTAATACAAGTAACAGTGGACAAGATGAAGGTAACTCAAGAATGATTGAAACTGCTCAAAGTTGGCAGAAAATTTAAGCAAATAGTCGATGATGGGATTTGGAGTTTTCAGTTGGTAATCGAGTATTTTCATGTTTCACCATGGAAGGGGATAATGAGGTTTGGTAAAAATGGAAAACTGAGTCCATGGTACATTAACTCATTTGAGATACTTGAGCGTATTGGAGTTGTAGCGTATCATTTGGTGTTATCGTCAAACCTGTCTCAATTATATGATGTTTTTCATGTATCAATTATTCACAAATATATAACTGATCCTTCTCATATAATGTCATCAGTACCGGTTAAGCTTAAAGAAAACTTAACATATGTGGAGGAACCAATGGCGATTTTGGATCATCGAGACCAGGTATTGTGATTAAAATCATTCCTTTGAGAAAAGTTAAGCAAAGTATCCCCAACTATTCCAAAAATGGGAAACGAATTTTGGAAACAAAATTTCTTAAGGAGAAGAGTTGTAAGGCCTGAGCATGTGATAGCAATTTTAATATTAGGAATGTGAATGCTAATTTATTTCATGAAAGTTAATTTTAGTCTAATGAATTTAAAAGTGAGCTACCGGGAATACGAGAGATAGTGTGTAGGTCCCGAGAATAAAAGTTTGGGTTTAATTTCGAAAATAAAAACGTCTTGGTGGATACATAAATATACATATGTGAATATATCTACACATATATTATATATAGATGTATCTATTATATTAAAACTAATGGCTAGAATTAAAAGTTAGTTGGGGGGGGGGGGTTAGTTAGTGGGCTCCCCACTAACTACAATTAGTGGTTGTCATTGGGAGGGGGAATGGGGGAGGTTTTGGCTAGCAGGGAGGGGAATGCTTGTGGGCTCTCCACTAGTGCATGTTGGTTAGAAGACTACACTTAGAAGAATTAGGGGGAAAGAAAAGGAAAGGCTAAGGGTTTTTGAGGAGCAAATTTTCGGTGGAAGACTTCCACCCTTGAAAACAGTTTGGAGGGAAAAAAAGAAATGAGGAAGGTTAGGAGGAACTCAAGGTGGGAGTCTTGTTGCTCTTTCTTATTTAAAGTAAGTGCTTAACCTTACACTTCTTTATACCACTTGTTGGTTATTGAACTTGATTATTCGTTGGGTTTTGGTTGAGCAGTGAGGCGTAATTTGCCTATGTGATGGACATGGATAACATTAGTGTGGTGTAGTGGAATTTTGCATGATGTTATAGCCATGTTAATACTTATTCTTTTGGGAAGTTGTTAAATTCTAACTAAGAATGTCTTTCTTTAATTTTTGGAATATGTTTGTGTTAATCTTGTTACGTTTACACATTCACTGAAAATTCTTAAATTTTTTTCAGGAACTAATCGTGACACGAGGTGTTCACTGCTGAGTCTGTATGGCTATTTAGAATGTTACTATGGGGTCTTTGTGTCTTTTGTATGTAAATGTGACATTGTAAATATTGGGTTTGTAACGAACTTGTAGCGTATAATTAAGACGGGCTCGTGGTGAGTTAACCACTTGAGAGTGTTTTTTTATACTCCGTCTTCGTTTGAATGTCACAATATGTACATGTATGTGTGTGGATTAAATAGCCTATACACAGGGGACATGGTTGTGTTTTCAGTGGTTGAGTTTTTCTTAATCAATTAAGTTAGATTTTGTACCCCGGGCTAGGGTGTTGCAGAATGTTAAAGCTTAGGAATATATTAAAGATTAAATTTAAATGTAGGAACATAGAATACATTCAAAAGATGGAGATGAGAAGAGAGGTGAATATCACCAATTCTTTTAATATGAATCAAATCCCCAATGAGTAACCGAATGTGATAAGTATTGGTAGGACGAACAAAATTACAAACTAAGCTACGATTAGGAGACATATGATCACTAGCATTGCCATCGATCAACCAATCATGATTGGGATTAAAGGAAAGAGATAAAGAAGAGAAAGTAGAAGAGTTACCAATGAAATTGGCAGCATAGGGTGCGGGCGTGAGAAGATCAATCAGTTGTCGAGACTGCTCAGGTGTCAAGCTAAGGACCATAGCACGTGAAGAGGACTACGTTGCCATAATGTGATTGGCAATCAGCTAGACAGGAGGCCTACCGAGAATAGACTTCTTGGAATTACGAGGTTTCACACCTGAAGTCTCAGAAGATAGAAGATGAAAAGGAAAATAGACATCCCTGGCGGCTGCTGGAGGAGAGGCATCGATAAGAGGTGGGTTAGGGTTGGGAGGAGGTGGCCCCATGTGGCTTTAGAATTTTTTTAGGTCAAGCCATAGAGAAAGAAAGGCTCTGATACCAACTTAAGAATTGTGGAATGAATTTCTTAATTCTATCATTCACGTGAATGTTTCTTTATAGTATAATAAGGGAAAGACAAAA